AATAGTTTAAATAGTTGCTCAAACCCAACGGACTTTGCATTATAAAAGCTAAAAATTCACAGAATTCTTATTCTACATGGAAAACGGTAAGACTTACATAAAAAGTTCATTTGAAAAAATATGCAGAACGCAATTATGAGTAAAACGGTATATAATTCGATAAATGATTCAATATAAATTTTAGGCTTTTGACTCCAAATCGCCCATCGTCCAAGCGGTCTAAAATACGAAGTTGCGATATATGGAATAAAAATTAAGAATGAATTTCTGACTTTAGGAGTCTGACTCGCATATCGCCCAAACCGTTTAAAGTACCAAGTTGCGACATATGGAAGAAAAACTAAGAATTTTGAGACGATTCTAACGATGTATAACACTTTATATGGTTTCCTTAAGAATTTATTAAATATTTTAAATAATTGCTCAAATTAAACCACTGCATTATAATTAACCATTTAATTTTTTACAAAAACACGAAAAACAGTAAGAATTATATTGAAAGTTTGTTAGAAAGAAAGATCCACAATAAAATTATAAATACAATGTTATATAATTCGATATATGTCCCTAAATAATTTTTATTGATATTGCTTTATTTTCCTTAAATTTTAGATGCCTTGAGATTTTATAATTTCTTAAATTTCAGCACTGCAACTTGCCCATAGGCTAAACTGTTTAAAATACGAAGTTGCAATATTTGGAAGAAAAAGTAGGAATTTTGAGACGAATCTAACGCTGTATAATACTTTATATGGTTTCTTTACAAATTCATTAAATATTTTGAATAATTGCTAAAATTATACCGCTTGGTGAAATTAAACATTTAATTTTAAAAAAATTTATGCTACACGAAAAACGATAAGAATTACATTAAAAGTTTGTTAGAAGAAAAGATAGAATAAAACGATATAAAATTCGATAAATGCGTTCATATAATTCTCTTGAGATTTTTTCAATTTTACGTAAATTTAGGAATCCGATTCGCCAAAGTCCAAACGGTTTATAATACAAAGTTATGATATATGAAAACAAAAACTAAAAATTTTATTACGAATGGTATTATTTATAACATTTTATGTTTTTTTAGGAATTTAATAAATATTTTGGATAATTGTTCCAATTTTACCATATTGTGTAATTAATCATTTAAATTATCTATTTATTATGAAATTAAACACAAAATTATTATGATATTAAACTCATAAAAAAAGTATTTAGAAAAAAATGCACAATAAAACTACGAATAAAACGATATATAAATCGATATGTGTGTTCATATAATTTTCATGAGATTTTCCAATTCTCCCTAAATTTTCGGAGTCTATCACGCCCATATGGTCAAAAATACGAAGTTGGGATATTTGGAAGAAAATTCAAGAATTTTGAGACCTTTTTAACAATGTATAATACTTTATGTGGTTTCTTTACGAAAAAAACAAACAGTAAAAATAGTTTCCCAAACATATCCGCACTTTTCATTTAAACATCTAAAAAAAATCACACAATTTCTATCCTATGAGGAAAACGATAAGAGATACCTAAAATGTTTGTTCCAACGAAAGATGCAGAATAAAATTACGAATGAATTGATATATAACTTAAATATGTGTCCATATCATTTTCTTGAGATTTTCAAATTTTCCCTAAATTTTAAGAGTCAGTTTCGCCTATCGTCTACTAAACGGTTGAAAATACGAAGTTGTAATGTATGAAAGAAAAACTAAGAATTTTTAGACGAATCTACTTAGTCTCAATCTAACAATATATAACACTTTATATGGTTTCTTCAAAAATGTATTAAATATTTTGAATAATCGCTCAAACCTACCGCACTTTGCATTTTAACTTCTAGAAATTCACACATTTTCTATCCTACAAGTTGAACGATAAAAGATACGTAAAAAGTTTGTTTTAAGGAAAGATGCAGAATAAAATTACGAATGAAATGCTATATAATTCGACATGTGTCTTCATATAATTAACTTAAAATTTTCTAATATTTCCTTGAATTTCAGCATTGCAACTCGCCTATAGGCCAAACCGTTTAAAATACGAAGTCGTGATATATAGGACAAAAACTAAGAATTTTATGATAAATCTAACAATGTATAACACTTTATATGGTTTCTTTACGAATTAATTAAATATTTTGAATAGTTTCTCAAACATATCGCACTTTGCATTTTAAAATCTAGAAATTCACACATTTTCTATCCTACAAGTTGAACGATAAAAGATACGTAAAAAGTTCGTTCCAAGGAAAGATGCAGAATAAAATTACAAATAGAACAATATATAATTCCATAAATACCGTATCTCTATATAATTTGGTTCTTCTACGAGAATGGTCGCAAAACCGCTATGAAAGCATTGAAGATGAATTGCACAGTTTAAAATAAATGCAATGCAACTACAATGCACCATAGAAGCAAGCAAGATAATAAAAAAAATACAATTTTAGGACTACACAAAAAATATTAAACTCACCAGAGTTATATTGCTAGGATCCTGCACTGCTGTGTAATTCAACGAGTCTTCTAGTAAATTTCCTGAAATATTCAGCATGTCCCAGATATCACCAGCAACGAAATGTGATAGATCTACAAGTATCATACAATTACAAAAATATGAAATTAAATATGAAGTGAATATTTATATTGTACTAACTTTTTTCTTCTCCAGAAACATTTTCCGCGCCTTAAGAGAAGCCAGAACGGCCCTCGGCAAAGGATCGTCTTTAGCCGATAACGACGCTGGTAAGTTTTTCAGCCCGGCTGTATAAATTTTGTGCGTCCAAATCTTGTCCCAAAAAACCACTTGGCAGCAATTCCTGTTATGCACGACCACCAATGCGCCTTTTCATCTTCACAACCTGGAAAAGAAAAAAATACATCCATGTAAAGGAATTAAATTAAATATAAAATTTTATACTTACAGACTTCGTTGGTGACCGATGCAGTTCTTGCAACAGTCAACTCCGTCGAAACGTTGTCCTGCAACCATTCAACGTACATCAGAGCATTGGTAATAGATGATTGGGAATTGTTGGAAGACTCCGAATGTTGACTATCAGGAGTTACAATTGCGTGCAAGGCTTTTTCTAGTAGTTTTTCTCTGTACACCTGGAGAAAACAATTTTGAAAGTAAGTATAGTGTTAAGGTATGCAAATTCTTTCACCTTACCTTCATAACGTACGCCAACGGATCCGCCTTGTTTCCCAAATTGCTGAACATCGATTCCTTTGCCTCTTGCCCGTATTTCCAGTTCTCGTTCAAAAAGAATTTGTGTCCAAAGGGTGTAAAAATCCATTGGAGTCTTGCCGGGGCTTGTACACAACGCAAGCTTAGAGCATGCTTAGCTGCACTTAGATAATACCTAAAAAAACAACAATTATAACACCAAAACATATTACATAAAAAATATTATTAACTTCCCATAGGGCAAGTTATAGTAATCGCAAAAATATCGAAAATGAAAATTTTTATATATCTTTACGTTTCAGGGTTTCTGAACATTTTGGCATACCTTAGAAAAAATGGATGTATGTGTGTGTGTGTGTGTGTACGTGTTGTATATATGTGCGGATACAAATTTTCGTCGACGATTTCGGAACACCAATCAACCGATTTGAATAATTCAAAAACATTCGATTCGTATTGATAAGGAGACGTGCTGATTAGTTTTTGGCGAAGGCAGGTCTAGCCGTTCCAAAGATACGGGCAAAAGTGCCGACAACGGTAACTCAGTTTTTAAGAGAACTGATCATCCGATTTGTATGATCCAAAAAACATTCAGTTCGTAATGACGGGGAAAAAGTGGTTATTAGTTTTTGGCAAAGGTAGCCCAGCGGTTTCGGAGATACAGAGCTAAATGTTAAAAAAATAGCAGTTTTGAGAGAACTAAGCGTCCGATTTAAATGATTCATGCTTGTCTTAACAAAATAATGCTTTTGAAGAAAAATATTTGTTTCTAATTTTTTTTTCACAAAATATTTTTGTAATTTTGGATTAAAAATTCAAAAAATTACCCAGGCTAAGCACAGTCTAAGCGCCACTCTGGTGAAAATATTTACCCAAGCGCGTTTAGACTGTTTATGTACAGGACCACTTTTCCAATTTTGTGAAAACTATTGAAAAATGTGAAAATGCCGCCAAGCTAAGCACAGTATAAGTGAAAATGTCGCACAGAATTATTTGTAAATGCGTTTAGACTGTGACTATACAGAAGCACTTTTAGGCAACTTTTTTTTTGAAATTGGATTCGAAATGAAATGACAATTGTTAATGTTCTGAGATAAATTGATTTATGATTTACATTTGATTTGCTCAGATATAACAAGATAGCAAAAATAATGAAAGTTACAGTATTTGTAATAATATATATGAAAACGTTTAAAATTTCTCGAACATTTCATTACGGTACGGGAAGTTCCAGCAATTTGCCCTAAGGCACGATGCCATACACCACTAGTTATTTTTATTACCTGCACAAGACTTGTAGCAAGCTAGGATACGATAACTTCACCCTCAAAGCAGCCGTGATGTATATTTCAGCCATTTCCTCAGCCGGCATATGATTATAAGCGGCTTCGCCCAAATTAACGGCGGCCAAAGATAATAAAAGGCCTCCACTAGACGATCCACTTGCCAAGTCCAATTGGTTCAAACGATGATACACCAGAGCTAGTTCTTTTACAGATGATAACGCCATGGCACGAGATTGACTAAAAGAAAAGAAACATGGGTTAATATTAAATACATGATTGATTGTTATGTAACTTCGTACCCATCAGCGAAAAGACCGCCGGCTCGTCTAGAAATAAATCTTCCGATCCACAATCTGTGCAACATCAGTCTGAATAATTGCCATGTTATTGCTGCCGAATATTCCATTCTGGATGCTGGTAAAGAACACCCGTAAGCCTGTAGACATCTTTTTAGTTCTTGAGACGATAGCGAAATATCACCCTGAAATGTAAAGTAATGAGAACTAGTGGTGCCTTAAGGCAAATTGCTGGAACTTCTAGTACCGTAATTAAACATTCGAGAAATGAAAATAATCAATAATTGTTTAGATAATTTGGAATGGATTATTTATTATAAATACATACTAAAATTATAGGTGCTTATTAAATTGGGCGATGAGCGTATTCTACACATAACTTCGTTCAATTTTGATTTCTTGAAAATTTTTTAAAAGTTCGAAACATTATGGATTTTTTATAATTTTTTAAGAATTTGAAATTTTTTGAAAATATTCGATTTTTTTTTTAAAATTCGAAATATTTACAAATTATTGTAAGAAATCTTTTTTTTTTAATTTTAGTAATTCTTGCAATTTTTCAAAATTTAGATTTTTTTTGAAAATAAAAAATTTCAGAAATTTCAACTTTTTGAAACTTTAATTTTTTTTGAAGATTTTAACTTTTTTTAAAAAAAAATTTCAAAATTACGAATTTTTTTGTAAATGCTATTTCTGCACACCGTCTACACAAGCAAAAGGTTTTTTGAATCAATCTAATCGGATCATCCGTTCTCTCAAAAACTGCATGACCCCTCTTACGCCCTTTGCGCTTCATACCTCCAAAACGGCTAGATGTGCCTTTTGCAAAAACGCCTCGTGATCGAGTACGAACCGAATGTTTTTTTCAATCATACAAATCGGTTATTCCATACTGTCGAAAATATCGAGAACATTTGTTAAATGAAATTCAAAATTAAAAATGCCTTTCCAAAAATTTAAAGAGTTTTTTATATATTCAATGCAAGTTTTTCGAATTATTTAAATCGGACGCTCCGTTCTCTAAAAAACTGATTTACGATTTTTGGCTCTTTTTGTTATGTATCTTCGAAACGGCTGGACCTGTCTTTGCCAAAACCTAATCAGCACATCTCCTTATCAATACGAATCGAATGCTTTTAAATGGTTCAAATCGGTTGATCTATGTTCGCAAAATCGTCAACAAAAATTTGTATCCACGTCCATTTTTTAAGGACTTTAATTTTTTTAATTAAATGTAATTTAAATAAAATATTAAAAAATGTGTAGTATATAAGTAACTGTTTAGAAATTACACTAAAGATGAGACATACCATGGTCTCGAAACGTCTGTAATTACCAAATAAAGTTTGTGTTAAAAATCTGAGTGTTGTATTGTTCATATTTAACATTTAATATGTTATATATATATATATATATATATATATATATATATATATATACAGTGCTGGATTACCCCATAGGCCCGTGAGGCCGGGCCTAGGGCGGCACAATTTGGGGGGCGGCAAATTTTTCAAAATGTCAAAATTTTATTTTAAGGATTGATCCTGATCTAGATAATTTTCTATGAAATATAATGTTATTCGTTTTCTATTCGTTTCGAGAGCGCCTCATTAATATTTTTATTGATGTGTCATGTTTGAAATAAAAATTATCAAATTGATAAGCTTTCTTTGGAGAAATATTGAAGCTCTGTTCATTTTTTGCAACTTTGTTAAGGTGAATCTTTCAAACAAAACGTTTTAAAATGGTTTAAAATGGTTTCTTATTTTATTTCGGGAACTAACATAAAATATTAATTGTCGATTGAATTATTCAATTGTCGGGAAGATGTGCTGATTAGTTTTTGATAATGACAGGTTTATCCATGTCGGAATAGGGGGCAAAATGATGAAAATAACTATTCAATTTTTTAGAGAGCTCTATTTTTTATCTGATTGAAAAATTCAAAACACATTGTACTTGTGCAACAAAATGAAGAATTGACTAAATTTTTGATTGAAGAATTGCGATGGTAGAGTGAGCGTGCATTTTTGGTTATCCAAAAAAGTGCCATTTAGTGATCAAAAATGATCAATAGACATTTGCACATCAAATTATCATATTTTTTTACAAAAATTTTAATAATCAGTACATATTTTGTTTTTATTTTTAACTTCTCGCGGAGTAAGTTATAGTAGTCGCAAATTGAAAATATTTTGTTTGCATATCTTTACGTTTCAAAGGTTAAAAAAAAATAGATGTTTGTGTGTGCGTGCGTTTGGATGTAGGTAATATGTATGTATGTAATTAGAACGAATACTAGTTTTTGTCAAGGGTTTCGAAAGATCAACCAATTTGCATGATTCAAGAAGCATTCGATTCTTACTGATAAGGAGTCGTGCTGATTAGTTTTTGGCAAAGGCAGGTTTAGACATTTCGAAGATACGGGACAAAAAGTGCATAAAAATCGAAATTCGGTTTTTGAGAAAACGGAGCGACCGATTTGAATGATTCAAAATATTGTACTCACATTTACGAAATGAAGAATTAAACTATTTTTGGTAAGGCAGATTCAGCGATTATGAAGATCAAGAAAAAAGTTATAAAAACAACACTTGGTGGTGAAAAATGATCATTGGACATACGCACATCAAATTACCAGATACTTCATAAGAATATTAATAAGTGCAAATTTTGTTAACATTGCTTTGCAAAAAACTCTAAATTTTCAAACATAGTGCTTCTTCGGGAAGTTAATAGTAAGTTAGCCCTAGTAGATAATTTCTAATAATGAAGTAATTAAATATGAAAAGATCAACAGTCGGGTTACCACCTACAAAAATACGACATAAGGAACAGATTCAGGGCGTAAGGTTCTGATTTTTATTTACACTTGTTGCTTCGTACATTCGAGACGGCTGAACCAGCCTTAGCGAAAAACTAATCAGAATCAATAGGAATTGAACATACATACATATCTACACACATACACATTTTGACGTTACCAAAATGTTCAGAAGGCCTTGAAATGTGAAGATAAGAAAAAAATGTCATTTTCGATTCATTTGCGAATAATATAACTTACCCTATTCAAAGTTAAAAATTATATCTAAATAATTTAAAAAAAAATGTTTAATTAAAAAAGTAAAATTTTGTTTATTAAAAAGGGCGCCTAAACGGATAGGGCCTAGGGCGCCAGAGAGCTTAATCCGCCACTGTATATATATATATATAATATATATATATATATATATATATATATAGATAGATATTTATTTAGTTATTTATTATTTACCTTTGATAGATCAAATTCGGCCTGCTTTTTGTGTCTCCAAAACGTCGAAGATTCTTTAGATTTCGCCGGCAAAATCGGATCCCCGTACGCCAAAACTTTGATCAATCCAAGAGCCATTATTACAGAATTAAACAACCAGAGAAAAATAGCAGGACTAAAGTACCAGGCTTCAGAACCTATAAAAAAATTACATCACAAAAAAAAGTCTATCTATTAGTTGACTAATAATTGTGACTTACCTTCACCATATCCAAGTAAACCACGTCCAGTCTGTGTTTTAACATTATTCATATCATCATTGCCATTAAATCCTGTCAACATCGTACCGAAAGGATTAAAGGCTACAAATAAAAACATGAATGCGCAAAGTGCCATACGAGACTGATCCAACATTCCACGAACGGGCGACATACAATCGTCGTTCATGTCGTCTTTCATCTACAGAAAAAAAATAAACATACATAGAATAATGTAAAAAACATTTTACCAAATATATTTTTTATTATTACGTGTGAAAATTCAGGAGACGACGGTAAGGAATTATCAGACTGTGTTGGAGACAACGATGGTGATGATACGTCACTGCTTGGCGGTGTTAGGATGCAGGATGAATCTTTGAAGGAGTCATCGTTGACACCAGTTGCTAACAAGTCTTTTAGTGTTTGTTTTCTTGATGCCATTTTCAGTGCCATGTTTTCTTGTTTTAATTTTGCATTCGAATTTTGTAGAAAGCGAATGTATTCTATTGTTTTGCGGAGGATGCCTGATTTGTTTAACTGAAAAAAAAAGAAAATAATGGTGTATGCCATCGTGCCTTAACTAATGCCATTTCAACTAGTGTGAAATTTTCAAAAAAACCAAATTTTCCATATTTCGATAGGTTATAGCTTTAAAAATAACATACCAAAGTTTTACATCGATATCTTAAATAGTTTTTGAGTCACAGCCATTTAAGAGTATTTATATAGTATATAGTACAACGATCATTTTATCTTTAAACACGTTTTTCTCGAAACAGCATTTTCCGAATTTGCTGCAGCGATTACTCAAAAACAAATGATCCGATCACTATCAATTTTTTTTTTACATGTTCCATATATAGTACTCCGTAAAATGAACTATCAATTTTTCGATCGGATCAAAAATCGAATTTTAGCAGTCCAAAAACGACCAAAAATTTGGGTAAAATTCGACTTTTTTTTAAAAAAACGCCGTCATTTTGTCAATTTTTGATTTTTTTTCTTTATTGTAGTTCATTTTACAGACAACATTATCTAGTTTAACAAAAAAATTTTTTTTTTAAATTTCATCCACGTAGAAGACCGTAATCACTGCAGCAGTGAAGGGCCTTTTTTTATCGCGCCGTTGGAGATCGACGATAACTTAAAAAATATTCAATTTTTTTCTTCAAAAATTTTACTATGTATTCTTAAAACATGTATAAATACATTCCTAAAATTTTGAAATGATTGATAAAGTAGTTTTTTCAATATAAATTCTCAAAAATCACCTTTTACTAGACGATTACACTAGTTGTGCCCCTTAAGGTAAACTGCTGGAAGTTCCCAAATCGCAACGAAACGTTCGAGGAATATTAAATGTTTTCAAACAGATTTTCATAAATACTGTAACACTGTCTAATATTTATAAGAGTTATATAAACTGAATTAGAAAGTTAAAATTATTTATTTAAAGTAAAAACTCGATTTCTATTATCTGGACTTGCCTTTGCCAAAAACTAATCAGCACATATTTTATTAATTAATTACTTATTATCCAAATAGTATTTTATTTAAAGTAAAAAGAGTTGTTTTTCCAATTCCAATATTAAAAAAAAAATAATTAAAAAAGTTGACCCCAAAATAATTAGGATTGGACAACCCTTAATAGTAACTATATTTTAAAGAAAAATTTAAGCTTATTCTTCAAACTTAAAAATCTAAACATAAATTATATAAAAAATATTCAATAACTGAAAATGATTGAATGTGAATTGGGGTTGAAATGAATGCTAAAAGAGCTATAAAAAATAGGGGTTGGTGATAAAAAAGTAAAAATTTTGGGTTGTATGTGAAAACAAAAAATTCCGTCCAAAAATTACAAAGAAAAATTTAAGAGTGAACAACCCTTATCACTTAGGGGTATAAAAAATAGATGATTATAGATAGTAATTTGGTAAGAATCAGTAAAGCATTTTCTGAGAAGTACGGGAACAAACTTTGTGACATGAGAATTTTATATATAAGATATATTAAAATAATTTGTTTCTCCCTACCTTAGCATCAACCCCAACAATCATATTTTTCAGTTCAATAATTTTATCATTGATACTTGTCCGGTATCTGCGTTCTATAGCATTGTGGGCACTGCGTTTGACTTCTTTCACTTTTGGTTCTTTATGGGACAAATCTTTGATAGCCAATTTATCATCGATTACTGCAATAAATAGAATATATATATATATATTATATATTATATTAAATTTATATATATATATATATATATATATATCTTATATATAAAAATGGAGCTCTCTTTCAAATGTCCGAATAAAACTCGAAAACGGCTGAATCGATTTGGCCAGTCTTAGTCTTGAAAAATTCGTGCCAATCCAGAGAATGTCCAAAAGGTGAGAAATTATTTCAAATCCGCGTAGAAACTTTACATTTATAATTTGAAAATTTTTGTAGAAGCGTAATTTAAATAGAACAATGGACGGTGGCAATTTCGTGAAATGTCAAACGCTTTTGACAGATGATGTTCAATTACGTTTAATAGGATGTTTTACGCGAATATTATTTATTTGTGATAAATTTGTAGTAAGTAGTTTTGTTTGTAGTTTTATTTATATACAAAAACGTTAGTAAACGGGCCCCAAGTGTACTAGAGACTCAAAATATAAACTTTTTTGATATGTTAATATGAAAATGCATTTTTGGCATATTTTTCTCAAACACGGTGCTCTGAAAGATCTCTTTGTATATTATATACTCATTGGTATTTATAAACATTTTCTAGGTTATATATTATTTTTATTTATGTTATTTAAATTCAGAACCTAAATTTGGTATCGATCAAATGGACCTTTTGTCGAATAACATTTTTCCAGTTATAATTTTCCAGAATTTATCGCAGAATAGATAGTAATATATGAAGGTCCGGGGTTAAAAAGGCCAACCACCGATTTGTCAAAAATCAGTAAAGTTAAGCATTGTTTAACAACAATATTTGAAAGTAGAGAAAAAAAGATTTATAGCCAGCTACAAGCTTGATTTGAAAACGGTAATCTTTGAAATGGGGAGATAAACGGTTATCTTTGAGAATCCATAATAAAAGTATTTTCTTCCGTTGGTAGTTTTAGCATTAGTTAAAAATGTAATTATTTTGTAAAATACCTTTAAAACTATAATAAGGCTTTAAATCTTTTTGCCATCTGCCCGTTTCAAGTTACCCCGCCTACAGGGTAAAAAGGTCTAGATAACAAATTTTTGAAAGACATCAAAAAGGCACATTTCTACAATGATGAAGTAGAAAGGCAGTTTACTGAACTCAGATAATTGTTCGTTGATATGTGTTATTTGCTGTGATATAACTGTTATGGTTTTCACAATATAGTTTACATTTGCTCAAAGTCAAATTGGACCTTTGTGCTTCGCCCTGCTCTACATATAGACTTTATATTAAATTTACTTTTTTTCGCCGAATGTTACTTGAAACTTTTCAAAAAGCAGGTAAAAAACGAAATACTTTTTTGAATTTTAAATATTTATTTTCTATCTCTCCTCGCAAAAATTTGAAAATTTTGTATAAACTCAGTAGTATTATTTACAATTATACACAAAATCCAGAATCCAAAAACAATATGAAAAACTTGAAACGTAATCAATTAGTCGAAAGACTTGGATGGTTTATACTGTTTCCTATAGAAAGTGTATAAATCTTCCAGTTTGATTGTATTGACAAAATATAGATAAACCAATGGGGTTTATTGTTTTTATAATACTTCATTGTATATAGCATTCAAACAACACATCCTTATACACTTATAGTATTAATATTTTTGATTCTCTAGAAATTGTCTAGAATATACCTTATTTAGCAAAACAACGTTTGCCGGGTCAGCTAGTATATATATATATATATATGTATATATAAACTAAAATAAATATCTTACCAGCAATTGGTGTAGTAGTATACATAACAGTCTTGTTTATATGTTGTTCCGATTTGATTAACTTTGCTTGCAATAATACATGTTGCTTGTCCTGCATTGTATTCATATTAGGCACAAAGATTTTTTGTGGTTGCACATTATTTGTAGTCTGACGAGCTGCCAGTTGTTTTCGACCCTAAAACATAAATAAAATAAATGAAAATATTCATTAAGTATATAAATAAATTATTTATAAATATTTATTTTACTTACAGGTTTTTGTTTTGCAATTGGTACATTTCTTGTCGGGGCATGTGAGAATGTTTTGATATCATAAAAGTATTATTCTGTACTGGATGGAAAATAAGTGTGTTTTGGTTGTTTACAATAGGGTTTTGCAGGAAATACTTGTGGTTGGTTTAGTAATGTATCAGGCTTAAAATCAATGTTTCCATTGTACATAAATATAGGTGCTGCAGGTTGTGCGGGTAAAGTTTGTTTATTTAAACTTGGCGATAAGTTTGGTGGACTTAATGTTTGTTCAGGTGACGACAAAGGAGGTGTATAAACTTGATCTTCAACTTTCATTGGCGTTGGTGTATACAACTCTGGGTTTTGAAATACATTTGAATTATCAAAAATTCCATAACTGTCATTACAAACTGGCAGAGTATCATCGTTGAGTTGCTCAAAAAAGTTATCATCGATCACCAGATTATTCCCTAGGACATCAGGATTTGTCAACAAGAAATCTGGGGACAAAATTACATCATCATCCATCATACATTCAGCACAAATATCAATTTCCCTTACCTTCAATCCCTGACAATTCATCTATATTAAATCCGTCGCCGAGGTTGCCATTGGTGAATTCCATTTCTTTATTTTTAGCTTCATTCCATATTGCAGGATCAGCCATAATTTCATCATTAATTATTGCGTATTGTTTTATTTTTAATAATTTTTATTTTAGACTTTCCTCAGACAACAATCAACAATACACATGTAGGCTGCATAACTTTCGGCCAATCAGGGACGAGAACGGTGTGGCGTGATTATACGTCATCGTGACGTTTGTAATTTGACAGTTATCAAATAATTGACAGCTGTAAATGATCATAATAAATAATAATAACAATATATATATATATATATATATATATATAATGTTACAATAAAAAATTATTTCCTTCTATCCTTCCTTATCTATGTCTATACTATCTGCATTTGACACTGATTCTTTTTTAAATTACATTGACTTTAATATTATATTCATGTTTTTATTTGGTGTTTATTATTACTAACAATAAATATAAATACACATGTTAAGTGACAAATTTGATTTATCACATATATAACTAGTTTTAGATGGCTTTATACTGCCTTTGTCAGCTTTTAATCATGATGTATATCAATTTATGTTCTTTAACATTTCACTGCTGTTAATAATTAAAAAATAACTAAATATTAATTCGTATTTAGGCCCACCATATATTATATAAAGCTTCCCACAAGATATTTTGGGAATTTCAATGAACTAACAACAGCCAACTAAAACTTTTTAAATAACAAATAAAACACTTGTATGTATAATATTAAGTCAAAATACTCTATAACACAAAGATAAAACAAACTGTACTGGAATAATAATGTTTTTTTTCATTACTAATTATTATTTAGGTTAATTATTATCTAGGACCTAGATTCTAGGTTAAAGACTGCCATTTCAAATAAATAAACAAAAGATGGCTGTCATTTTGACAGCTGTCAACTTGACAGTTGAACTCTTCGGCGCCAACTTCATACCATCAGTGCCATTAACGTCATCAGATTAACATATTTTATCCTGGTGTACTTAATTTAATTGTATATGTGAAATGTGAAAGTGACAAGCATGTTTAAATGAATATAAATGAATAGTGACTTCGCAAGCATCGGGACACATCAATTTAACCAAATTATGGAGTATCTCATTTAACAAAACATCAACAACTACGGTAGTTTCTGATTACTTTGATATTTTGTGAGGTTACAAACTTTTTACATAATGTGCGACAAGGTTATAAAAATTGGTTCCCGAAAAAGTGAGCTTGCATTGATTCAAACCAGATATGTAATGCATCAACTTCAAACTTTATACCCCGAAAAAAAATTTGAAATTCATACCATGACCACCGTTGGCGACAGGGTTCTAAACGTGTCACTGCCAAAAATTGGTGAAAAATCTTTATTTACTAAGGATCTAGAAGATGCCTTAACAACCGGCGTTGTTGACTTTGTTGTACACTCATTGAAAGATCTTCCTACATCCTTACCGGACGGTATGGCAATTGGAGCAATTTTGGAAAGGGAGGATCCGTGTGATGCCCTTGTCTTAAGAAAAGAGTTTAAAGGTAAAGAATTGAGTACCTTACCAGACGGCAGTGTTATTGGTACTTCCAGCTTAAGACGTTCAGCACAATTATCAGCCCAGTATCCAAATCTTAAAGTGTGTGATGTGCGTGGAAATTTAAACACAAGAATAGCAAAACTAGATGCAGCAGATTCACGCATGACCGGCCTCCTTCTTGCAAAGGCTGGTTTATGCAGAATGGGCTGGCACCAAAGAATAGACGAAACATTAGATAGTACAACTTCTCTATATGCTGTTGGACAAGGTGCACTCGCTGTCGAATGCCGAGCTTATGACTCTGATATGATTGAATTGATTGCACCACTTTCTCACGAAAACACTGTATTGCGGGTACTGGCTGAAAGAAGCTTTTTGAAACGACTAGGAGGCGGTTGCAGTGCACCTGTTGCAGTCTCAACAATTTTACATAATTTGGATACAAAAAGCGAGTTAGAAATTAGAGGTGCTGTATGGAGTCTTGATGGTAAAACTAAGATTGAAGATGTTTTAAAAATATCACTACAGGATAGTGATATAGACCGGAAACCGTCTGAAGAAATAGTTGTAAGTCCAAAAAGAGCTAAAGTTGATGATTCGGACAAAGAGAGTGTTGAAGATAAAGAAAATGCAGAAGATGTCAAAAGTTGTGACAGTTGTGTCTTAAGTATTTTACCAATCGGACAAGATTTCATGGGTCAATGTCCGTACCTAGAAGCCGGTCACCACAACAAAGTAATCGGAAAATGCCCATACAAAATATCTGATAAAGAATCAAGCGAAAACTGTAGTACTGAAAATATAGATATCACCAAATCTGTTCCAGAAGATATACTTAATTTATGCCCATTCTTTAACAAAAATAAATCCCATCCAATAAATACTGTAAAAGACAATATTAAAGACATAACAAAAAGTACAAACGTTAAATTATTTTGTGGAATATTGTTACAAAACAATATTGATCAAATACTCATGGAAAAGTGTGAGAGTTTAGGAAATCAATTGGGTGACGTTTTAATTAAAAACGGGGCTTTGGATGTTATTAAAAGTGCTCAAGCGCATATAAAAGCGACCAGCTAAATAGAATATATCAAATATGGGGCCTTGAGTGTAAATAAAAATGCTCAGATAGAAATAATTATTGTTAAAAAATATGCAAGGCATTGCATGTTTGTTTTTAGTATATATAAATGGTTTATAATAAATCATAGTAAATGGTTTTATAATATAATTGGAAATAAAAGGTTTTATATGAAAAAATAATTAAATAAAAAATTATATGAATAGTTGGGTTTATAAAATAGTTTAATTTTAATACTCACAACCTAGATTTTTCTCTTTAACATTCTCCTTCCATTTTATCAGTAAATAAATCAATTTATTTTCATAACTTATGATATTTATTTCTAACATAACAATCCTCAATTTATTTTTCTTCAATCCTTTTTATATTTACAAATATTTTTATATTCCTTCATAAGTATCTTTTGACAAAACTAAAAACTAAATAAATCCCAAATTAATATCAATTCTAAAACATCTATATTATAAAAATAATACATACAATTATTAACATGATATAATTATAGTTATTACCCAAGTATACTTATTTTATATATTTACATAAAAACCACAACAAAACATTTTAATAAAATATTCATAAAATCAGTCTTTGTTTTGGCCCAAAAGATCAATACACATTTATTCCTCATTATCACTTGTTTGCTCTTGATTAATATTTAGCTCACGTATTCTGTTTATAATAAAATTGTCAAATTCAATTCCATCTACAGATTCTCTACTTAGCTGTATGGTCGGTCTCGGGGGCTCAGGAGGAACACTCTCATTATTTTCATTGTCTGAGGCCTCTGAATCTTCATATGTATTATCTAATACATTTGAATGATCCAAATTCTGATAGGCTATATTGGTTTCAAATGATTCTGGGAATTGTATCCTGTGATAAAAAGTCATAGTAGAATTAAGATAAATAAATAAATAATATATATATATATATATATATATATATATATATATATATATCAATATATCTTACCTATCCCTCTCAACATTTTCATTACTTTCAACAATTTCAGTGTAATTTCCATTATCCACATAGCCCTCAGTCCGAATGCCAGCTACACCTTTTTTCTGTATTGTAGCAATGTCTCTTTTGATTTGTCTTCTTCTATGGGGCTCATTTCTTCTGATTTGCATCATTGATTCAAAATCAATAATGTAAATAAATCCGGCAATGAGTAACTCACAAAATTTTTCATTTTTTGCATAAGAGGATTCAATTTCCATACTTGTGCGTTCATCGTATTGCCACCAGCCTAGTGATAAAATATATATATATTATATATATATATATATATATATATAATATATATATATATATAATTAAATTATTTTTTGTCCCTGAAAATTATAAATAATTACACATATTTACACAATTTGAATAAAAGATGTGTTATTAAAAAATAATTATTACTATTTATTACCAATATTTATTTAAACTTCATAATCTTAACAACTAAACTATCAACTATCTATTATCTAATTCTTTGCAATCCCTGCAACTCCCTTAAACATGTTAGTTTTAATATCCCGTTTTATTTTCCTTTTCCTCCAACTTTGATCCTTTTTATATTGAACAAGACGAACAAAGTCAATAATGTATAAATTGGCACAAATAAGCACTTCGGCCTCCTCACAATTGTTAGTGTAATGTTCTTCTAATTCAGCGCTTGTTCGCTCGTCATACTGCCACCAACCACCTGTGTAAAACAAGTGTCGCAGTTAATAAATGAAGGTAATACTAGAAATCATTTATAGGATAAAAATAAAAGACAAATCAGTGATTTTTGTTGTAGGAGGACGCATTTGGTATATTAAATACGACACATGTTTTGCACATGACGCTTGAATTATGTTAAAATATAATATACATATTATTTATATATATATATATATATATTATATAAAGAATTATTTACTAACCATTTCTCCCTTCATAGAACCATTGGTAACTATCAGGAGCTGCTTTTGGTTCCTCATAATTCTCCACAAGATATGGATGTTCCAAAAAGTTAATAGGTATGTCTGCTCGACATAAAGCACACCTATTACTTTGGAATGCTACTCCCTAAAACACAACAAATCTACTTAATAAACAATACTATTGTTGGATTACAAACTATTTGATAATTTATTACCTTAACACACAGAAAGCAAAATATGTGTCCACAAGGCAAGCGGGCTGGGTGTATACATGTCTGCAAACAAACTGGGCATTCTAGGACTCCTGTAGAAAATGATATGTGATTACATATTTATTATAGTAATTATAGTGATTTATATATGATTTTATTTATTTATCTATAATTATACCTTTGTTTTCTGGCACTGTGCTGTCGTCAGAATCGTCCAAACAAATTACTTCATTAGAATTACCTTGAGCCATATTATTAAATTTTTGACTAAATTTGTTAACGATTGTATCAATAAACCACATAAATTTCACGATGCATTAACAATTTCGTACATAATTTTGCAAGGCTGTTTAAATCGCTTAATTAAGAACAAAATATTGTTAAGAACTTATTTCGACATTTTGACAGCTTTCAGATTTTGACAGTTGAAAGCATATGGCGGACAGAAAAATTCGTATTCGTAAAGAGACAACTTCACACTTAAATGCTAAATGGTTTTGGCAACTGTCAAAAATTTTGCAAAATTTTATTAAAATAAGTGCAAATATTAATAAAACCTATTCCATTCAAGTCCTTTTTTTAATACACAAGATTTCCTGAATTTGTGGCATTAAAATTTGGTGTGCGTTGAAGTTATATCTTAAATCCACATGATTAGCCTATAAAAACGCCGGTTGTCACAAACACCTAATTTTATTTATTTCTATTTATTCTTCTACAGATCAATCATGAATAATTTGCTGGAGGTTGGTTTTTTAAGCGATGATTCCGGTCAACAACACAAGTGTTTATGATCCAAACACTTGCACAATGGTTATGAGTTACAAAGGCGGCAATCTAGCCTCTCCTCGTACAGTTTCCTTAATAACCACAACCTTCTAATAGCAGCTGACCAAGTAAAACCTTTACTAAACGTCTGGCCTATTAACAGTCAAGAAACCGTGCAAGGTTTGCGCATGATATGCCCGGGACTAGTTGGAGCCCTAGACGTCACCCCCAAAGGCATATACTTGGCAGCAGGTATCGAGGATAGTTACACATATGGCATGTGAGTACAGGCCGTCTTGCTAGTGTAATCTCACGCCATTACCAGCCTATATCTTGTGTCAAATTTACTGATGACGGTAGCTTTTTGATAACTGCCGGTCAAGACGGTGTGATATTGGTATGGAATTTTGCTTATTTAATCCAAGTTGTTGGTGCGAATGAGAGGACACAAGAACCTTTGTATTCATTTTCTGATCACACTTTACCAGTAACGGATATTTTTGTTGGTCGTGGAGGCTTGAATACACAATTAATATCAGTTTCTAAAGATCGTACTTGCAGAATCTATGATTTGACACGGGGTGTGTTATTAAATTCTGTTATATTCAAAAATGCTTTGACTTCAGTTACCATGGACTTTTTGGAACAGTCGGTATTTGTGGGAGATGCTGAAGGAAAGATTTACCAATTTTTCTTATGCAGTGCTCCAAACGTTGTAGAAGGTGAATCTACAGATATGTGTTTCACCGGACACGAAAACACAGTATCTTGTTTATCCACGTCTGCAGATGGGCAAACTT